TCAGAGCCTGGTATATATTATTCCAAGAATTTCTACCTCTGGGTTGAGAAATTTCTGGGTTGAGAAATCAGCTAGGTCTTATTGGTTTTCCTCTAAATGTTACTTGCCACTTTTTTTTGTAGCCTTTAAAATTCTATCCTTATTTGGTATGTTTGGCATTTTCATAATAATGTGCCTTGGTGTGAGTATGTTGTAATTGTATATAGTTCTGGTCCTGTAAGCCTCCTTATATTTAATTATCATTATTTAGGTTTGGCAAATGTTCATATTATTTGATTGAAAAGATTGTGTATTCTTTGGTTTATATCTCTGAGTCTTCATCTATCCCAATAAACCTTTTAAACAAATATTTTTATTAGTTGTTGAAGGACCTTTATTTTACTTATTTATATGCAGTGCTGAGAATCAAACCCAGTGCCTCACAGACAAGCGTGCCACAACCCCAGCCCCTCAATAAATCTTAAGTGTGGTCTTTTCATATTATTCCTTTTTTCTTGGAAATTCTGTTCATGGTCTCTTAACATCTTTTCTCCATGGTCAGGTTGTTTTCAAGATTATATATTTTGTTTTAATTGCCTGAAACTCTGTATTCCAAGTGATCTAGTATTCTGGTGATGCTTTCCTTTGCATTCTTAATTTGGTTTATTGATTGCTTCATTTTGAGGATTTCTGCTTGATTTTTTTCACAATCTTTTTTTATTGAAGTGATCTTTCACTTCCTGTATTTTCTCTCTGATTTCACTCATTACATTTTCTTTTACTTCACAGATCAGTTTGACAGTGTACATTCTAAATTCCTTCTATGACATTTCTTCCACCATGATGTTGTGAGATTGTTCTTGAAGTATGTTGGTTTGTTTGAGGTGATTTTTTTCCCTTGCTTTTTCATGTTATTTGTGGGTCTACCCATCTAGCAATATGAATCTGAGGTAGTGGAGTTTCTACCCTGTGAATTTTAGTGGCCTTGAAGGTTTCTAGTACTTAACATGCTGAGAAGTTTCCTTGGTTTCACTCTGTGCAGCACCCAGTAAAGCAACTTCCTCTATTCTCCTATCTTGAAAACCTCCTAATTGTTATTTTGTATCTTGATAGTTAGTGGAATTTGATTTGTGGTACTAAGAGAGTTTATTCTTGGGTGTGAGTGTGTTTATATATTTTATGTTTCTTATGTCTCCTGTGAATAGAGATAATTGTTTTTCATTTGTAGTTAGATGTCTTTGCATAAAATTTTCTTGACTAAATACTCAAACAAGGGCTTTTAATACTATGTAAAAGACAATTATGTTCTTGTTCCTAGAAGAAAATTTTCTACTCTTTATAACCTCATTATGATGATTGCTAGAGGATTTTTATTATCTTAAAGTACTTTCTTTCCATTTCTTGTTTGTTGTTTGATTTTGACATGAATGAGTGTTGATTTCTGTCAAGTGCAATCTCTACATGATTTGAAAGGACATTATTTTTCTATATATTTTTTGTCATTCATTGTGTTCTTGTAATATTCTATTGACTGGTGCTGTTGAATTTAGTTTACTAGTATTGGATTAAAGAATTTGGCAACACCATGCAATTTCTCTACACTCACTGTAGAAACTAAAACAGCTCCCTTTTTCCATATACTCCTTTGCAATTCCCTTCAAACAAATATTTTCTTATACATTTCTGTGTAAATGAAATTTAAATTGCTCATAGTGTATTCAATGCAATGATTAACACAAACAATGCAGATCAGTCCTGTTATAATTATAGTGCCTATTTATGGCTTTGTTATTAGGTTAATGCTCATCTCACAGAAATGTTTCCTCCTATTCACTTTTAGAAGTGTTCAATGAAGATTACTTATAATTTTTCAAATGCTTGATAGAATTAACAAATCATGCTGTTTGGTTAATTGCATTTTATTTTCAGGAGGTTCTTGATTACTGATATATCTCCATACAAATTATTGGTCTGACCATATTTTTTCATTATTTTATGATTTCTTCATGGTACTATATATGTTTATAGGAATTTATTTTTTGAGATTTTTCAATGTCTTGTGTAAAATTGTCTATAATATTTTCTTCATTTAGTTTATTTCTTTGGACTTCAGTTGAAATGTGTTTTTTATTATATTTGTTATTTGAATTTGCTTTTTGTGTATTTAGATAGGAGTTTGTCACATTTGTTGAATGTAAACTCATTTTATTTTTTATCTGATTAATTTTCGATTCTGAATTTCATCAATCACTTCTCTAATATTTATCATTTCTTTACCTCTACAACATTTGGAGTTAGTTGGTTCTTTTTATAGTTCCTAGAGTGGTAAAATAATAAAACAGATTGAGCTCTTTCTCATGTAGTTGTTTACTGCTATAAAACTGTGTCTTAGCATAGCTTTTATAGAAACCCATAAGTTTTCATTTGTGCTATTTTTTTTCATTATATCAAGATGTTTATAATTTTCCTTGGGATGTCTAATTTGATGTATTGGTTAACATTCTTTTTTTTAAAAAAAAATTTAGATATTGATGGACATTTATTTTTTTTATTCATTGTATGGGGTGCTAAGAATAGAACCCAGTGCCTCACAAATGCTAGGCAAGTGCTCTACCACTAGCTACAACTCCAGCCCCAATTGGTTAACATTCTGATATTTAATACTGACTTAATTCTTGATTTTGCAATTATCCTTAAATATTCATATCAACTTTTATTCCTTTCTTAACTTTTGTGATCAGAATATATATTTTAATTATATATTTAATTCTAAAAAGAATTACAGATTATGTTGATGCCTATGCATGGTCTCTACTGGATAAATTCATTGAATTTAATAAAGAAATAAGAGAAAATAACAAAATTCCCAAGAAGAAATTGAGATGCAACTATGAAACAGCTGAGAAAAACAAAGTAGATATAATAAATGTAAAGATAATCTGTTTTCATGGAATGGTAGAAATTATAGTTGAATATTTATATGACACTAAGGTTTAAAGATTCAGTACAGTCTTTAAACTGTAAACACATGCACTTTATTAGATGTTGAGTGGCTTACAAGCCATTAGTATTTTATATTATAATGCAGAAAGAAGAGGGACATGTGGTATGGATTGTTCTGGGGCAGTGTCAGTGATCACCTGAAAATAACTAGTAAAAGAGGTGGCAGGATTCCACAGTAAATGTAACTCTGTAAACAAAATTACCTTCATGTGGGAGGGTTTTGTTTTTGAAAATTGGACAGAATGGGTGAGGGTACAGTGCTTAAGCAGAAAAACACCAAGTAATTCTACCCACAATAGGATACACATTACAAGGTTTCAGGGTTCATATGATATATGTGGAAAAAGAGGTGTTCCTATTCATTACCCAATCATGAGCATGTTTATAGGCCAGGGTCATGGCACAGGAATGATCTATGGGAGGATCACCCCACTCGAGAGGGCACTGCATGGTTTGGCAATTCTGCATGGCTGCTTGGTTTTCTTATATTACAGTACCAGATGACCAGGAGACTAGGGCATGGTGAGGGGGAAAATGCTTTTGTTGCCCATGTGAATACCCTGTAACTATCAGCAGGCCATGAAGGTGTGTGTTTGCTGGGGAAAATAATACACTTGACCCAATTTATTCTGAAATAAAAAGAGGGCAAGGTTAGGGATAGAGGTGATCTAATGAACTAGAGAATAGGTAGGGCCTGGGAATGGTCTCGCAAAGGAAGGAGATGCAGTGATGCAGTAATATGGCCCATTTGGATAAAGAGAGGAGAAGCTAGAGAAGAGATTCACTTAGGAGGCAAGAAACCAGGGCCATATGGGGGACAGCAGGTATTAGCTGTTGAAGCCCAGGTACCATAAACCCTGGAAACACTTGGAGGTATAAGGGTGATTGGAGAGGACTTGCACTGACCTGTTCACCTCAGGTGAAGACTGGACAAGGGTGGAGCAGAGGGACTCAGAGCAGGCAACAGAAGGTATGGGGATGTACAATCACAAAAAGGATGTGGAGCAGCAGTGTTCCTGTGACGCATCCCAAGGTGCAGGAAGTGAAGCCTTCAGAAAACAATGCTTCCATGGCCCTGCGGACCAGTGGGCCAGGGGGGTAGGCCTGTACCCAGGCACAGGAGATGTCTTATCTTTCTGAGGAGTGAGGAAGCAGCGCTGTGAGTTATGAGAATTTGGGATTGTGCCCAACCAACAAGAAGTGGTTGGGAACAATGCTGAGAGTGTTGTCACTGTGCCATTTTTTCACGATGTAATACGTTTGTGAACGTTTTTCAGGAAAAGATGGTGAGGGAGACAGACCTCCAGGCTAAGAGGAGTGTGCCCACCATTGCGGATGACATGGAGTCCTTTTATCTATTTGGCATCCCAACAAAATGTAACAGACATTCTCGCAGCAGACAGCGGGGTGGAGTGTGGCGGTTGGACTGGAGGACAGGTACAAGGCAGATGTGGAATATTGCAGCAGGCATACCCCTGGTGAAGCCTAGAAGGTGCGGAAAGCGAGGCCTGTAGCAAACTATCCTCCCAAGATGGCGCACCCAAGTTCCCCGTGTGTGTGGAACTAGCCCCCAGGTGGGGGACTGTGGATCAGCTCTCTGTGGATTGGGGATGCAGGAGAACGTATTGTGAGCATAGGGGAGTATATTCAGCCGACAGGAAGCTGGCATCAGAGAGGAGAGCCCTGGCACTGGGCCATTGTTCTGATGCTTGTCATTTGTGTACACTCTTCAGGAAAAGATGGCGGGCAAGGGAGGTGTGTCTGGTGGCTGAGTGGAGCGTGCCCACCTGTGCTGAGGCCGTGGGGTCCTGTTTTGTGTTTGGCATCCCTGTGTTCGCGACTGGGAAACAGGCCGGAGCATGGGGAAGACGGTAAGCTTGGATTGTCCACCTCCCCCGTGCCAAGCCAGTTGTTGTAGGCTATGAGGGTTGGTGTGGAAATACCGTCCCCGTGACTGTGCTCTGTCGGGCGCCGGCCCGGCCATGGGGGTGGACGCGGATGGTGCATCCAGAGTGCTTGGATCGATGATGAGTCCTCCAATAACATTCCTTGGAAAAGCTGAAGAAAATGAGTGAAAACCCACTGCCGTGTCGCCCTTCGTGACTGAGGTCCAGCACGTTGTCAGAGGCAGAGGCAGAGGTGGCAGGGGCCAGGGATAGCTGCCGGGGCTTCCAATACTTGTCCTCCTCATGAGCGAATTCCTAGGCCCGGCCGATGCCGAAAGGTGGGCTGTAGCCCCATCCATGTGCGAGTGGCCGCTGGGTATTCTTGGCTGAGCCGAATGAGATGCTCAGCAGAGCCAGGCCTGCTGGGGGAACAACAGGTGTGAGGTGTCCAAGCGCCCTCTTTTAAAAGGTTGGGATGACTTGGAGGTATGAGGTGGCCTGGAGAGGGCTAGCCCTGGCCCTGCCTTTCTTATAGGACCACTGGGTGAGGGTGCTTCAGAAATTCTCGCAGCGGTCAGCGGGGTGGAGTGTGGAGGGAGAAGGCGAGGACAGGTACAAGGTGGATGTGGAAAATTGCAACAGGCATACCCCTGGTTAAGCCTAGAAAGTGCGGAAAGCGAGGCCTGTAGCAACCTATCCACCAAGATGGCGCACCCAAGTTGCCCATGTGTGTGGAACTAGCCCCAAGGTGTGGGATTGTGGATCAGCTCTCTGTGCATTGGGGATGCAGGACAGTGTATGGTGAGCATTGGGAAGTATAGACAGCCGAGAGGAAGCTGGCATCGGAGAGGGGAGACTTGGCACCGGGCCATTGTTCTCATGGTTGCTTGTCATTTGTGTACACTCTTCAGGACAAGGTGGCGGGCGAGGGAGGCGTGCCTGGTGGCTGAGTGGAGCGTGCCCACCTGTGCTGAGGCCGTGGGGTCCTGTTTTGTGTTTGGAATCCCTGTGTTCGCGACTGGGAAACAGGCCAGAGCATGGCCAGGACGGTAAGCTTGGCTGGTCCACCTCCCCCGTGCCAAGCCGGTTGTTGTAGGCTATGAGGGTTGGTGTGGAAATACCATCCCAATGACTGTGCT